ACAATAAAACTAGTTGACAATGTATTGTGTCAGAGAGATTTAAAGACACCCCTGTGTGCTTCGACATCATCATTTATGCCTGGCCGATGGTTAACTGTTCCTCACGGAAAATGTGATGGCGTCATCTGTGAAGGAAACATTGAGGCATTTCAGAGTGAAAGGGTATGGGTACCAAACAAGTGTCACTTTAAAATATTTGACTCAAATGACATGAACATGTGCTTAGCAAACAAGAACGTATTAATAATCGGAGACTCTATTACACGGGAGGTTGCTAATGCGTTTATGCAAATATATATGTATAGAAAAGGAAAGAAGCTGGAGAACTCTCAGGGTCTGCAAACATTGAAATTGCTTGTCCCCCGAGCGCCTCCAAGATCGTATAAATTAGGATACAATACCACAATTAGATTCAGTTTTATCATGGCTATACCTCTCGGATGTGGCGTACCTTGCATTGTGAAGAATCCCAATGTGGAGAAGCTTTTGATTCCCAATGGAAAAGTAGATCTAATAATTTTCGAAACGGGTGTTCATGATATCGCACCATTTCAACGAATCGAACGAGTCAAAGATTATGATGTGTTTGACCATTACACACAAATGCTACCTTTGGCAATTGACATAATTCAAAAACTAGTCAAACCTGATGGCCACATGTTCTGGATCAATGCACCAGATCCAAGCGACAGAGCAAGATGTGACTTCATGTCAAGACCACGAGTAAAAAAAGTAAATCAGATAACTGAATCATTTGCTCACTCGTATATGGTCAAAGATCCCAGAATACATTACATTGACTATTTTAGTATTTCGGAAAGTTGTTACTGTGGGAACATACACAAAGGTTTCGACTATTACTCAATTTCTCCAATAGGTTACAATGGATTGTTTCTAGAATGTTAAACCACATGATCTTAACTGTATACTGTTAATATGAGGTTATAATTTCAAGTCGGGTACAGCTATATGTAACATTTATCGAAATGTATTTTCAACACAATAACATGAATGTTTTTAATGAAATACTTTGTTTTCTTTATAAATACAGGCGTCCAATTAATAGATATGTCAAGAAAAGTGACATATGACTTAAACATGATTGAAGTTAAATGTGTCGTGTAGTTTGGAAAGTGAAATTAAAACAATTCACTGTGTCAAAAGTTATATTTCAGGGGAACTAAATAGAGCCTATTTTGGTGTTTGTATTTATCAAGTTATGTATATTGATTATAAATTTGAAAAAAAAATTAAAAAAATTGATTATCCTCAGAGTTATGATGATTTAAATATGAGAAACCATAAACCTGCGAAGGACTTCCGTTTGCGCCATCTTGCCATAAAAAAACGCCCTCATGAGGTATAAACAGGTAAGGTAACAAAGCATGATGACGAAATAGTATCTGATTAAATATAAGCAACTTAGGGAGCCACAGGGGAGCCATAGCTGGCTGGACTGGTGAATTGACTTCTAGTCTAGGTTGTTTCGACTTTTACGTTAATGTTATTTACAAGCATATCAACATACAAACATTATGGATGTGCGATTGATCGAGACAGGCATTTTGTTTTGTTTTTTGTCTAACTGTCTAATAAATGCTGTTTCCAGTACTGCACTGTGCGGCGTGCAAATTATTCAAAGTATGGATGCTGGAGTATGCAATCTTGAGTTCGTAGGGTGGTGGTCGAAACATTTTCGTCCATGTATTCACGGGGCTGCACTGGCAAATCATGGGACAAGTGTCACAGGACACCAAGCAGATTGTTCACAGACTTCCGTGTAATTTCCGTGTTCATCCGAACAAGGGGCATCGTCGACGATATACTCTCATCACTCACACTGGACTGAATTGAATCTTCACAGTATACCGTACTTCCCTGATCATAAGCCCGGAGGCATGAACACGTAAAGGAAAAGTAAGGGATGAGCTTATACTCGAGGACCAACTCAGAAAAAATAATTTTGTTTTGGGGTTGAACACTGTAACCTTCTTGCAAACAACGAAAAATTATCCCAAAAAAATATTCGTTCACCACGCCGGGATCGGGAAAATAATACTTATTTTTGAAAAAAAATGCGTCATTGATTTGAACGATACTTACAATGAAGAAACAAACATGTTCATAAAAAACACACACATTTTATTACAATACGATTTACATACCGTCTGAATTTACGGTGAAATAATGGGTAGGGTCTGTGAGGAAACAGTGGACGAAAGCATTTATCATTATCTTCGTTTTGGTATGTTTTCGATCGTACGCAAACTCCCGACGCAAACAATTTTCCACCATGAGGTTTTTCAGCACGATTTGACCTGGAACAACTTCCTTTG